CCCCCCCCCCCCCCCCCCCCCCCCCCCCCCCCCCCCCGCCCCAACGCAACGCAGCACGAGGCCACAGTGAAAACCTGCTTCGCGGTGCAACCCCGAACGAGTGGAATCCGCTGGTGCCAAATGCAGCCCTTCGGAGGCCGAGGAGCACATGCCCTGCAGCCTCGCGCATTGAATGGCCCAGAGCGCACGCAATCTGTGACGACGACACATTGCACGTCCATCAAAGGGGGAGACGACGCCGTCACATGGAGAACCTGGAAACTGCCCGTAAAAGGCCTCGTTTGAAATTACTCCGTACGGATTGTCTCGTCCGCCAACTGTGTGGCCGGAATGCTCTTTGTTCCTGGGTTGTTTGTTATACGACACAAATACGACCAGACGCCTTCACATTCCCTAGCGCTTCCTCCCTGCTGTGGACTAGAAGAGACTTGCATGCTACACGTAGTTTTCAAGTCCTTGGTTTTTTGCCCTTCTCGTTTCTCGTCGTTGCCGGCACCATGAAGGCCTTCCATTGGCTCTGTTTTGCAGTCCGGACTCCCACCCAACTCCGCCCCGTCCAATCAACGAGGCGAGCGCCATGGCTAAACGGGACGAGGGGAATATCCAAACCAGACAGAACAGAAGAAAAAAGTGAAAAGAGAAGAAAAAAAAAGCCTCCCTGCCGCTACCAGCCCGCGATGGAGTCTGACCCGTGTGGCTGAAGCGATGGCGCGCTGCTTTCAACACTATCGTCTCTGGTTGGCGGTGCCTGGGCAAGCGGTTGGACTTTTTGGACACACCAAGTCCAGAAGTGTACAATAGCGCCGCTCAGTCAAATCACAATACAGAGCACGCTCAACTACAATAACAGGTGCCCCGGATCAGATGCAACCAGGTGTTGTTAGTCCTACAACTAGTACTACATAGCACTGCTACCATTGAACCAGGTGTCCTCTGTCCTTGGCCACGTACACGAAGGACCAACTTCCTCCCGTCTCTTACAGCCCGTCCAGGAAGCTGTCGGCCTGCCGCTTCGCCCGCCGCTCCCCCATATCCTTTCGGCGCTGTTCGATTTCGCGCCGTCGTGCAGCCCGTTGTTCCTCGCGCTGCTTACGCTGTTCCTCGGTCTTGAGCCTCTCCTCCTCCAGCGACTGCATCTCCTTTGTCCGCGTCTCCTCGTCCTTGCTGAACTTGAAGAAGCCAACGCCCTTGGTGCGGATCTCGTGGTCGGCATCGTAGTGCTTCATCTCGGGCGGCGTAGCGCTCCTATCCCGCCTGCTTGCCAGCTCGGCCATCTTGTCCGGATCATCCGGCGCAAACGCCATTGCTTGGATCGCGTCGCCGTAGATGAGGTTGCTGGGAGCACTAGGCCGGGCAGACATGCGCTCCAGTTCCTCGGCGCCCAGCAGCCCTCGCCGTATGCGACGTTCCATCTTTTCCATGTCGGCTCGCGTGCCTCGCCGTGTACGCCCAAACTCGTCCTCATACTCCACCATCTCCTCGCCGCCGCTGCCATTTGCATCCTCATCCGAGCTGGTCTCGTAGTCGTCGTGGCCTTCCACCGTCTCAGCCCACTTGCGGTCAAAGTCCACCAGCGGCGCCGCCTCGTTCTCCCTGGGCACGTAGTCTCCGCGCTTCATGGCGGCGTAGAGCCGTGCCTTGCTCTCCATCTTTCGCTTTGCGCGCTCGAGTTCCTGCGTCTCCTCCTCCGTCCCGACCACTTCTTTGAGCACCAGCTTTTCTGATTTGGCATCCCGCTCCTTGCTACTATTCGTTGTCCCTTTTGATCCGCTAGTGCCACGGAAGATGTCGTCTTTGGACTGTTTCGGCCTTGCGCGTCCAGATGCTGTTGATGTTGATCCCTGAGGGGTGGCATTTGATATAAGTGATGTAAGCTGGGCAGTAAAATCTAATGATGACGATAACGCCTCTCGTTTGTGTCGCTTTTGCGGCCTTTGGCCGTAGAGATTCGGATCTTGAGGCATGATGTGATATGTCTCTGGCGTAGATGCGATTTTCTTTGTCCGCGGCTCTCGTATATGCACTTACAAAGGCCGTCTTTAGTCCCTAGAAATGAAGAATCCTTCTTCAGAATAGAGCGCCAGATGGGGTGGCTTATACCGTGGAGGCCACAATGGATGGTTTGATTTCCAGATACTGATCAATGAAGCCCAGAAATTGATCTTATCGCTGTCGCGCTACCGGGAAGCTGGACGTCACTGATTAAAGTTGACGGGTCCTGGTGACTAAGCATCTTTTTTTGATGACCTTTCTGGTTGCTCGCACAAACAAAGCATCTCGGTCTGGGTTTGATGACAACAAGGGATTCTCAATAACACCATAAAAAGACAATGAAGCATGAATGTAGATTCTTTTCCCCAAGTCATAGTTAGAGATGGGATGTCGGCTCAACAGCCAGCGTCTCTGCGTTTTAACTTGCTACAGTGTATAAGACCCCAATTCGTATGTGGCTCCATACCTGATAGCATGCATCTCGTCCTTCTTAGACTCTCGATATGTTAAGCCACACTGTTGTTCCAATGATTCCATTTCCATCTCTACAACAGCCTCATCTCTTGCGAATCTTTGAATTGTGAATGGCATTTCGCCAAATTCAAGATTCGGGGAGTTGGTGTAGGGGTATCACGTTCGCTTTGCATTTGCTCAGTCTGGGTGCAAGTCTGTAAAAGGTCAGGGGTTCAAATCCCTTATTCTCCAGTCTTGTTGCTCTTCTCGATACAGCGCATTATTCGTATCCATCTATTTCTTCTCACGTGGTATAAGAAGATGATTAGGTATTGCGATACTCCCCAGTAGGAGTACATAGAGACACTTCTACAGCACAGGCATAGCATCACTGATGATTTGACAACGCCAACCTTGGCGTATGAGAAGGAGCGGCAGTACCCCCCTGACGAGGAGGTAAACACAAATGGAGTATATGAATAATCTTGATACATCCTATAGATTATTTGACTCATTGATACGCACATCGCACCTCACGTAGCACAGAAAACCTCATTTATTAATTTATCAAACAACGGTACAGGTTAGGCCGACCCAACTTGTAGAGCTGTTAGCTGCAACCCCACTAATTCCATCACCCCGCTATCGGAACGAAACCCATCATCTTCCATCCAAGCTACCTGTATTTTCGCAGCATCTGTTCACCCACAAGACAAAATGGCTGCAGTCAATCAGGTTTACATCGCCATCATTGGTACACACTCCCGAGAGCAATGATTTATTCGACGTGGCATTTATCTATGTATTAAACTGACTTATGATTATACATTAGGCGCCGGTGGTGTCGGCAAGTGCTTCCTCTCTCAGCTGCAAGCCCTCGCCGCTCGCAGGCCGTCCCCCAAGCTGAGCCTCTGCTACATCTCGACAAGTCGCAAGGCCCTATACAATGTCGATTACTCCCCCGTGAGCCTTGATGGTGTCACTGAAAGCCTCGCTGCTTCCACACAGGCCCCTCCTCCTCTGGCGCAAGTGATTGACTACCTGGCTTCCGCCCCCGCCAAGGTGGTCCTGGTCGACAACACGAGCTCTCAGGATGTTGCCGACGCTTACCCCCTGGCCCTGAGTCGGGGTCTCAGCATCGTGACACCTAACAAGAAGGCCTTTTCCGGCTCATACAAGCTCTGGCAGGATATCTTTACGGCATCCGCAACCTCGGGCGCCAAGGTCTACCACGAGTCTTCGGTCGGCGCTGGTCTGCCAGTCATCTCCACGCTGAAGGATCTGGTGGACACTGGAGACAAGGTGACCAAGATTGAGGGTGTCTTTAGCGGCACCATGTCGTTCCTCTTCAATTCGTTTGCACCGACCGAGGGTCAGGGTGGCAAGTGGTCTGAGGAGGTGAAGAAAGCAAAGGCTCTTGGCTATACCGAGCCGGATCCGAGAGATGACCTCAATGGCCTTGATGTCGCCCGCAAGTTAACTATTTTGGCCCGCTTGGCAGGTCTGCCTGTCGAATCGCCCACATCTTTCCCCGTCCAGAGCCTCATTCCCAAGGAATTGGAGGCTTGTGCGAGCGGAGATGAATTTCTCGACAAGCTGCCCGCCTTTGATCAGCATATGGAAGACACCAAAGCTGCCGCCGAGAAGGCTGGAAAAGTTATTCGGTTTGTTGGCAGCATTGACGTGGCTACCCAGCAGGTCAAGGTTGGGCTGGAGCAGTTTGATCGCTCACACGCCATTGCTTCTCTCAAGGGCAGCGACAACATCATCAGCTTCTATACTGAGAGATATGGCAGCAATCCCTTGATTATCCAGGGCGCGGGTGCCGGCGGAGACGTGACGGCTATGGGCGTGACAGGAGATCTCATCAAGGTGCTTTCGCAAATCGCTTAGAACCATATCCAAGATATCTATGTGGCATATATGAATCTGATAATAAAAAAAGACCAATTGCTATAAGTCATGATCGTTTATCGTCGTCTCGCTCGCTGATCGCCATGTTCGGAACCGATTGTTGTCGTTGTAGCCGCGACTATTGCTGCTGCCGAACCGGCTGCGGCGGGGGTCCGTCCATCTGGGGCTTGGATGAACGTTCTCCAGATCCATAGGAGAATATCGAAAACGACGGCAAGGAGAGAAGGAACAATAAAAAATAAGCCCATGGCCAGCTATGCATGGAGGTTAGATACGAGAGACGAGAAAAAGGAGGCATCGAGGAGAGCACTCACGCTAATCCATGATATGGCACTGACGAGAAAAGCCGAGCCGGGAAACGACAGAAATGCCAGCGCACCAGAGACATCCCAGAGTAGCACAGCCATGGCGCAGAACTATGGAAGAAGGTGTCGCGATGATGGAAGAGAAAGGGAAGCGGTCATTGCCCAGCGAGCACAACGAAGAAAACGAAGATGCCCAGGAGCTGTCTCAGCTAAGGTATTTTTTTTAGGCTGGCGTTCGCAACCGTCCAGTCGCGATGTCCAGGGGTCGAGCCGTTATTTTGCGACGCTGCAGGTACTCGGTACTTTATGCTGCGTGCCGGGTTGCCTTTCCAGGAGCTCTGGTCTCACCACCTACGTCTCGCCACTTTAGACCGCTTACCTTAGAGTTCCAAACCAGTGAGCTGACATTGGTGGGCAGTCGACTGTGCATTAATATTTGGCTGACATGTGAAGTTGTATGTTCTCTCGAGATGATCTAAGTGTCATATGCTGTAGTCACTGGTACCTGACTGGAGCTGAAGCTCTTAAGGTGGGCCAAGTGCAGCTAAACCCAATGTAGCTTTGTGCCGCAAAATGCATGCACTCACTGTGCCAGACCGCTTTCCTATTTCACCTCTACCAAACTTTCCTTGGTTGCCAGCCAAAGTCAGATATTGAATCTCATCAATAAAATTTCCATCTGCTGTCCCTCAAAGCTCAACACACGGATTGCTACCAAATATTTTGGACTGGCGCAATGGGCAATCAAACAAACAAGAAAGAAAGGCGAGATAGGTTCAGGGAAAGAAGAGGCCAAGATGGCGTCGTATTGCTACCTCGGAAAAAGCTTTATCGGCAGAGAGCTCATGCAAACCCTTTCTCAGACCACATGTTAGAGTAGTGAGTATGCCTCTATGAGGTTTTCTGTATCGTTTACTAACTTATTTGCAGCCCAATCTCACCTGAGCATATGGATTGGTCATCCTATTATCCTTCTTATGTGGATGAAGAAGCGCCACGAGATGAGTCCAAGCCTCCGCGAATGAAGCAAGATGTTGAGATTGTCGACATTGGATGTGGTTTTGGAGGTCTCCTTGTTGGTCTCGCTCCTGTTTTCCCAGACAAGCTCATTCTCGGTGAGTGCTTCCTCGTCTCTCGTTCATTGGGCCAAGAGCATTTATAATTAACATATTGCTAGGCCTGGAGATCCGTACTACAGTGACACAGTTTGTGCAGGAAAAGATATGGGCACTGCGCGCACAGAGCTCTGAAAAACTCTATCAGAATGCGGCCTGCATCCGCGCAAACACTATGAAGTTCTTGCCCAACTTTTTCAAGAAGAGCCAGCTGAGCAAAATATTCATATGCTTCCCTGATCCACACTTCAAAACGAAGAAGCACAAGGCCCGGATTGTTTCAACAACACTCAATTCCGAATACGCCTACGCTTTACGGCCTGGTGGCATTGTCTATACCATCACCGATGTCGAGGCATTGCACGAGTGGATGGTGGAGCATCTCGACGCTCACCCGTCCTTTGAGCGGGTAAGCAAAGAAGAGGAGGAAAGCGATGAGTGCGTCAAGATTATGTTGAACGAGACGGAGGAGGGTAAAAAGGTAGAACGAAACAAGGGACATAAGTTTGTAGCCCTATTCCGCCGTATGGAAGACCCGCCATGGTAATTATTCGAGGTTGAAGTATGATGGATGAACAAATGAATACCCCTTTAAGCCCGTCTATTGGCGTCGAGGATAGGATATGCAGGCTTGGAAATGACAGTCGTGAATACCTATTCTTAGCAGAGGCAATCGCTTGTGTGGTAAACCTCTGCTGGGTTGTACCCCATATCATGGCGCCGACAATATCAGAGGTGCAATACTAACGTACCTTGTGTAGTACCCATACTATTCAATTGACGAATCGGATGGAAATGGCATATCAGGTGAAAGTCGGCTCATGTGCAGCGGCATCATGCGCTGATATCCATCTGTTCCAGCATACATGTACTCCGTACCTGAGATACACTGGACAAAACGGCCATGAATGGAGTGCTTGCAGGCCGCTACGTAATGGTGGGCCTGCCGCTAATCGATAACGGGGGGCTTGCAACCACACCTGTTTAGAGCGTCGCAATCGCGAAGCTACCACCCCATATATTCCACTACGATACCCTCGCTCACCGTGTCTTTCAACAATGATGCTTAGGAGGCGACTATGGCCCTGAAGCGTAGAGATGTAGCCCTTGCTGGAGTGGCCTACTTCATTGCGTGGGGCTATGCCGTGAGCTGCTTCTCTGCGCTGCGCTGGGTCGGATATGCCTTTGTGGGCGGTATCGTCATCAGCTTCCTCTCGCTTATCGCGGCTCTTGTTTTAACCACACAGCACCCTCGCGGCCATCGACCGGCACGCCCGGCCAGGGTCTCGTTTCTGAGCTCCCAGAGATGGCGCGCCGAAGCGGAAGCTTTGCGGCAACGCCAGACTTACCATAAGGAGCCCCTCGATCCCAGCTTCCCCCAGGCATCTCAAGCTCTCGATGAGGTCCTGGACCTCATCTTCCGCGACTTTGTACGCTCGTGGTATTCCCACATCAGCCAGAACCCTACATTCGAACACGAGGTGGCCAAGGCAATTCGACAGGCACTGCTAAGCCTCGTGGGCTCGCTCCGCAACAAAGACCTTGCTGATCTCGTCACGAGCCGTTTTGTGCCCATCTTGACGGCCCATTTCCATGACTTTTACGAAGCCGAGAAATCAGTGCGAGGGAGGAAGCTGAACCGATCCGTGACAGAGTCCGAAGAGCTTGATCTTGCGATTGCGTCCAAGTTTAGAGATGGCCGGCTACACCCAGCTGCTTCGCTGTCCTTTCCAGATACCAAAATGGTTCAGCAAGACTACTTACGGTCATTGGTAGGGCGGCTTCTGTCCAAGATCCTTCCCAAGAAGATGCTTTCCAGCCGGGCCGTCTCCATCATAGTGCGGGAGATTGTGGGCTGTGCCGTCTTGTTTCCCGTCGTTCAGCTGCTGAGCGACCCTGACATGTGGAATCAGCTGATCGAGAACCTTGGCCGCTCGATGCTTCAAGATAGATCTACTGTTCGCAAGCTCAGGGCAGCACTGGACCAGCACGCCTCTCCTACGCCAAGATCCAACAAGCTAGCCATGGCACCGCGGTTGGCGCCTGGGGATAACGAGCGCAAGTTTGAAAAGTTCATTCGAGCCATCCGCAGGGTCAATAACCTATCCGACGCACGTCGATTCCGCAGCGAAGTTGCCAGTCAGCTCAAGCGCGATTCCCTGCAGGAGAATCAAGACCCAGTCTACCTTCGTCGACTGGAAATGGGAAAGCGGCTACTCGATGAGAGAGTACATCACTTGGCTGCGGGTGGAAATCGCCATTCGCCTATGCCAGCTCCCTCGGGGCCGCCCGCTTCCACTTCGAAGCTCGAAAACGCGTCCCTCGTAGAGCTGTTGCGAGATCCGGCAGGTTTATCATACTTTATGGAATACATGGACCGCCAGCGTTTGATGCCCTTGGTTCAGTTTTGGCTGGTCGTTGATGGCTTCCGTAACCCCCTGGAAGAGGATGGCCAAGACGACGAGCTCCCCTCTACATTGCCCATGTGGACAGACTCGGATCGCCTAGATTTGCTTCAGATTCACCAAGCATATTTGTCCAAGCCGGAGCTCAACGTGCCGGAAGTTGCCAAGAAGGCTGTCAAGGAGTTTCTCCAAGCTGGTGTATCTGCCACACCAGCTGAATACTACAAGGCTAGGAGAGCTATCTTGAGGGCGCAAAGCGGAGTTCTGGAAACGATGCGCTCTCAATATTTTGAAGGATTCAAAAAATCAGACCTGTACTACAAATGCCTCGCATCGCAGGAGATGTCGCGCGCTACCATGTCACCACCGCCGCCCACGCATCAGGGTCCCTCAGTATCGAGCAGGACTCACTCATACCAGTCTAAGTCCAAGCCCGCGCCACGGTTTGCTCCATTGGCTGCCGGACCCTCCAGACGACTCTCTGGGTCAATTTCGGATCTGAGATCAGTGAACACCAACGGCAATGGCTCGGATCCGCTTTCTTCCTCACGGAGGTCTCTTGATGACGATCGATCTCTGAATCCTCTCTTCGACGATGATGACTTGGATAACTTTGGAATGGTGGATTCGGTGCAGAGCTTGGATCAAGCTCTTTCGAGGCAGCAGACACCTGACAAACAAGTTGTCCAAGCCGTGGAGCAAGCATTAACCAATATTTTGGAAGATGACAGGCCACAGACTGCCGAGGATCTGCGGGCCTCTCTGTTCGATAATGAAGACAACGTGTCGAGTTTGTTTGGTAATGATAACGAGTCCAATCGAGGTTCGTTTGACGCCGGCAAACCTCTGATTATGGCAAAAGAGGCTGGTAAGCCCACTCTGTCGTCGTTGGGGCTTGTCAGCGCCGCCTCTCGAATCGGCGTGTTCGTGGACGATGACCTTTTTGGGGACGAGGACAAGTATCTCCCAGGCGAGAGGGACGACGCAGATGAAGAGGCGCAGTCGGATGAGGAGGATGAAATTCACGAAGCCGCCCCGGGTGACCTTGGACTGGCAGAAGCCATCACGGTACTGACAAACGACATTGATCGCTTGGTGGCACAGGACGCGGTCATAGAATCGCTAACAAAGAAGGCTGAGCTCACAAACAATGC